AAGCAGTTTCATATTGTCTTGTTATCAGTTCATTGTCATTGATGTCATACCATCTGTCATTTATTTTGGCATTGATGTTTCCTGTTCTCCTAAAATAAACATCTGTATTTGTAAAGATAAATATCAATATATAATAAATTTTAGAGCAATATGTATGCATATTTGAGGAGTGGGGCAGCTCAGTGGTAAGGCACTAAGCTTCCAATGTTCAAGGTTCCAGGTTCGAATCCCGGCTCATGGCAGAAAGTTATTTATTCTGTTTCATTGGCCAGGGGGCGACCCTGGGATAGGGAGACCCACCTGGGGTCACACCCAGCCTCTACAAAGTGGGTACCCTTAATTATATAATTGATTAAGGGGGGGGGGGGGTGACCTGGCTGGTTTCCACTGAGTACTGAACCGAAGACCCTTCATGGGTTGTAGTAGTACAGGTTTTTCTCAATGTTTTTTTTTTTAGGTATGCATATTTGTAACCAAATATCATCCATCGGTTAATTGCAAAAATTCTTAGGTACATTTTTGATGAAGCTAAATTTTTAAATGCACTTTTGTGTATTTCCAACTTATTTATCGATGTGAAAACATACTGCATAAAAATAGCTCAAACCCTGTTGCATATAAAAATTATTTATACAAATTGTACAATTTCCTGATTTCGTAGGGAAATATTCATCAAAGGTTAATAAATTCTCAGTAAAACTAATGCTGAACAAATCTAACGAGTATAATTTATAGATCTATTTATAGTAGGCCTATGATACTATTGATAGGATGAACATGTACAAATACCTTTATTCTTTAGATCAAATTCCCAAAACCTTATTGCCATAACCTTTTTACCCCTCCCTCACCTAATAGGCTATACGAGATTTTTCATAGCCCAGAGGAAGGGTGGAGAATCAATGGCAGAGTTAAAAGTCCCACTCCCTGCACCGGCATGTGAACTTTAATCTTTTGTTTATTAGGTTGTCAGGCAATAATTGCTTTGGATAACGCGTTAGATAGCTCGGCGACCCCACCCTCCTCCTCCACTCACATTCACTGGCATGTCTTTCACAAACACAACATCGGATGAAGAAGTTCCAAAGGATTCAAAATAGGAGAAGATTTACGGCAAAGTGATCCACTGTTAGTCCTACTCTTCAAGCAAGTTAAAATCGGCAAAATTCGTAAAACAAAAACGAATTGTGTTTCTTTTCCAACGGCCTAACCCAACATCTGGCTTTTTTCGAATAACGTCGTGGTCTCAGCAAGAACGTCCAAGCTTTACAATGTGGACTGGAAGGGTTGTAGGGCTTGAGACCAATGCCCACAATGCCATGTATATGCGAACTGTAAATACGGCCAATCCAGAGCGGACTATTAAGCTGTAATAGTTCCAAATACAGTGTTTTTCAGAACTAACGTACAACAGTAGCTTGATAACCACCAACAATTTGACGGAATCCAACATAAAAACGAGAATCGCAGCTGGAAACCGATTCATGATGCACCTGAATCTCCATCTGATGATATATTCAATTTAACAGTAAATAATAATAATAACTTCAATTTAAAGAAGAAAAAACAATGGAATATATAGTTTTGAGATTGAGTAAATAAAATATGTTAAACAACTTCATTATGAAACAAGCGTGATAGACTATTTGAGCAATGATTGCGCTGAGCTCTGGAAGAAGTTAAGAGGGTAAGTGAGCGTTGGAGAATGTTATCTTCAATAATCGCTTTCTATTCACACTCTATGTGGCTAAAGTGCTCTCGATCAATCTCCGCTGGCTTTAGAACCAGTGATGCGGTTGAGAGAGTAGCGCAGGGTTCTCCTGGAGTTCCCTCGCCTGATTGTAAATATTGTATATAGGTATGCATGTGTTTTTTTGCTTATTTTCAATTTTCTTATTTTTAGGGTATTTTTTTAAATTTTTTATTGTATATACTTTTGATTATTATTTTGCTTCTATTTATTTTACATTTTTCGTACATACAGTGTGAATGTTCTCCTACCTCACTATAACCAATGTCCAAGAGACAGATTGATGTAGTACTCAATAAATAATTTTTTAAAAAATCACACTCTACTAGTGCTATCTATAGCTTGCGGAATGGGTACAATTGATTTTAAGATTATTTAACTAATAGATATTAATTTCATGTTTAATTCGTCAATAAGTTATTCTTTTTTTTTTTTACACCGCACCAATTAATTTCAAATATATTTTAAAAATAATAATTATTGTAAAATGCCGACAAGCTTCTTACCAAGTAGTAAAGATAAGAAAAAGTTACAGGCCAAACTGCTAAAGAAATAAAAATTGAATATTTTAAAAAGAAGAGATTAATGTGGAAAAAATTGTTGCAAAGGGAAAGGGAGAAGAGAGTTGTAATTCAGTTGAAAACCATTAAATGTTGAGGGGGTGAATAGAATAGTGTAAAGTTAATTTTTGGGAAGTTGATGAAGAGAAGATAAGGAAGTAGTTATCTGTAGAGCTGAGAGGAAGTAGGAAGGCAACCCAGTAAATGCTAGAAAGATCAATGATAAGTGGACAGTGGTCGAGAAGGGAAGGAAGTAGGAGCTTAAAGGTGTTTCCCACAATGAGGGGTGCCCATCTCACCCGGACAAGGTCAATGGAACAAGAATTTACCCCTTTTCCCTCCTTCCAAGATATTTTATTGCTAACCTTTTCTTAAAAACAGAGCAAGCTGAGGGAGAATTAGAAAAATTGCAAATCATATACAATCACACTTGCTGCGTTATGTTCCATGTTTTTTCCCGTGTCCCTAAGTCCGAAAAATCATAACTCCGTCGAAATTCATCCCCTCAAAAATTCAAAATATGCCTCCTTAAAAAAATTAATTAATGTTGTCAGCCAATTAAAGGAGTAAATAAAGATTTTATTTAGGACCCTTACCAGTATTTTCAAAGATATTTATAAATTGCTTAATTATATTTTAATTTCTTAGATGAAGATAAATATGATTTTTCAGAATCTCTAATAAAAATATAGCTGTTATAGAAGCTAGGATTTGCTTTTAATTGATTAATCCTTATGATACATATGGTATATGTAAATTCTTAGTAAGATATTTCAGAGAAAGATATCGAATGTAAATTTCAATTAAATACCCAACTGTGATCTATAGCCTTCTAAATTACTTAGAATAGATATAATAATTTTTAATAGGTCAGTTCTTCTCTGGAACAGATAGAAGAGTATAATTCGTTAAATTAATTAATTAATTGCATCGTGGTTTTATTTCAAAGTCATTCAGTTCATATTTGACCGGGCTTCTTTTTTTTTTTTTTTTTTTTAATATTACAACAATCTTTCACTTGGACATCAGTTATAGTTAGGTAGGATAACATTCAAAATATGTGAACAAAAAATATAAAATAAATAGAAGAAAATAACAATAAATAATAATCATAAAGTATATACAATAAATAAAATAAAATAACCTAAAAACAAGAAAATTAAAACTAAGCAAAAAAACACATGCATACCTATATACACTATTTACAAACAGGCGAGGGAACTCTGAGGAACGCTTGTCCCTCCAGCTCTGGAGGGAAAAACTAGGCTCCAGGAGAACCCTGCGCTACTCTCTCAACCGCATCAATGGTACTAAATCCAACGTAGATTGATCGAGAGCACTTCAGCCACATACACTCATGTCTTGAGTGAAGAATCTGGCCATTGCCAGAACTCCAATATATACAATCTACAAAAGATCGCGGGGTCACTGCCGTTTGAACCATCATGGAGGATTATAGGGGTGGATGGTGCTTGATAAGGGTTGTGCAAGAGGATTTCGATGATACGTAAATCTCTGGTGAAATCTGGAGAATTTTTCTGCAATAAGGTCTAGGACAAATGGGATATTGAGGTCATGATGTAGGGTTTTATTGGTTACATAGAAAAGAGCATTGACTATTGTCCTAAGGACTTTTGACTGGAAGGATTGGATGCGTTTGAGCTTAACTTCTAGAAACGTTTTTGGGAATTATGACGTTATTTATCAACAATAATTTATCAACTCAGTAACTACACTAAAATGAAACAAACATTTTTATTTATCATATATAGTTACTATAAGTAAATACAAGTTCACAATTCTCCGATTTCACTAAGGGCAAATTTATCAAAGCTGTTTGTGATTTAAGGTACTAACGGATCCAGGATTTGATTTTGGAGCTTTGATTCCGAAAGCTTATTTTAAAATATATATATATAACGATTATTACTTTGGAAGAAAAAATAAACTAACTACCTAAATGAAACGGTGTTTAAGTGATTCTTGAAGTTCTCTTTAATGTAATTATACGAACGATAGTACTTTTAGAGATTTTTTTTTCATAAAACATGGTTATATTTTACCATTTTGGGGGGAGGGGGTAGGAAGCTTCAGCCCGAAAGCCCTCTCCTCGTAGATCCGCTAGATTGGAAGCTCATAACGCCTTCTTGTTTTTGTTTTGAAACTCTTTCCTTTACTTAGAGTAAAAACACAAAAACTAAAGGCTTCTCTACTTGTTACTGATGTTTTACATCTTATTTGTAAATTGTAAAGAGGTGAATTCAGTGAAACCTTGCTGTCACCATCTAATGGCCGTAAATCTTTTGAATTTCTTAGCAATTACAATTATTAATCCAGTGACAACAATATTTTTCTTTTAGTGTCTCGTTGCACATCCTGTTTTACAATGAAAAACCGGTTCATGACTGCCAATAATGAAATACTTGTGACGACAATTTATAACAACATATTACATAATGTAGTAACATTTTCGCAGCCTTTGTTTTTCAAAGTCTCCTACTATCCAATGGTTATCAGTTTATAGGGAGGGCCAATTTGTTTCTTCTGAAGATGTAGATTCAGTTATCCATATAAATAATTATATTCTTGCAGTTAAGTTTTCCATACAACCTCTTATGCTAAATAATTTCATTTTGAAAGTTAATGAAGTAAAATATTCATGATGACTTAAAATAGTTTAATGATTTGAACAGGGGTTATACATCAAATCAATAGGCATTGTTTATTAATTACATAAATTATATACCATAATTTACCAAAAATAATCTGTACAGTTTTTAAATGATATTTAAGTATATTTTTACAGTGGTGACAAATTTAAAGACAGGAGTTGAGGCTCAGGGCTGATCCATGGTTGGGAGAGGACCTCAGCGACACAGTTATACTGTTTCTTCGAAGTGTCTCCCTCTCCAATGAAAATTAACTTGTATTTCAAACCAGCCACAACCTGTAACATAAGGTGATTATTATTAGTATTAATAATACTATAATTAAACAAGTCTATAGATATATTAAGGCAGGGGGGTGCCGATGCTCAAATGTTCTAGACTCAAATCCTGCTGAGTGTAGATAAATCATTTCTTTCGTTGCATCAGTCTTAGATCGACCATAGGGTCAGAAGACCCTCCTGAGGCACACCCAGCCTCTATAAAATAGGTACTGTGAATTACAGTCAAACCACCTCCTTGCACAACTGTTGACCCAGAAACAGTACTTCCTTACAACAAAGTACTAAACCCAAGATCCTTCAGGGGTTATGGTGATACAGTTTCTATAGATTTAATGACGTTGAACTTGGAGTGACTACCGCTATTATCTAATTATTTAAATTATTATTATTTTTAAGCATATTTCCAGATATTTTCCCGATTTCCAAGTAATTCAAGGACGATTGACACCCTGAACTTTGTCTTTTTCAATCAAAACTTAACAATTTATTTATTCCTTTTTTTCTGAACCTACCGGCCTTCAGATGAAACACTTTAGTCACCACACATATCCCGATAGTTTAGGACGAATCCCAAACTTATGCTTGTTAGCTTTATTAGTTATCATAATCCAAGCATATTTATGATGAGAATTTATTTAGAATGGGCAACTTGATGTAGCCATTATTCCAGGTAATATATTTCAACAAAATTATCAACACATCATAAAGTACCGACAACCACGCTGGAAAAGCCTGTAAGGACAATTTCTTAGGAAAATGAGGTTTTGAGCTTTTCTAATCTTGTCCTGGGGCACATTCTGATCTCTCAAAATGAAATCTACGATGTTTCAATTCTTCTCTATGGCATTTTGTAAAAAACACAGCAATTTAAAACAAACAAATCGTGAAGTAAAAAACTTAAGTTACAGTGAACATTATAGTGATTGTGTCTTTACCGAGAGAACGTAATGAAATACTCAATGAAAGATGTTCATGTAAATATAGAATGTATAAAGCATTTTACGCATAGACTATAGAATCAAATAGCTTTATTAATAGGCTGAAATCATCTTTTCTCGTACTCTTTGTTTTCTTTTTTAAATTACTAATAAATGACGGGCACTTTCAGCCCTGCGCTTCTGGTCAAATGACCATATTCCCCTGCCCTGAGGCCGGCGTTGCTTACCATGGAATTAGACATAGCAAAAAAGAGAGTGGTAAGTGGGAATATAATATTGAACGGCCTTCAATAAAATGGAAATATCCAGGCAACAGAAAAATGAACTTGACCAGAAAAAAGCTACAATGGCGCCATATTCCAGATAGTGGGAGACATAGAATTGATTTTATTAATTGGAAAATTTAACACGAGACGAAAATAAAATTTAAGTTTCATCTAATTAGAGTGCTACCAATGGGTAGTTCCTCAACATGTGTTCCATGTCATTATATCCATGTGCGAATTTACCAGATGTAATTTTTGTATACAGTTGTAAATATCATATAAATAAATAAATAAATAAAAAATAAGTTTCATCTTTTCAACCAAATGAAACTTCGAAATTGCAAGAAGTTAGTTAGAAACGAAGTGTTCTAAATATCAGAAGGTTACCTATAACTTACCAATCATTCGTGAATCGAACCATGTCCATATAAAGTTGAGTAGGCTAAAAACGAAACTTTCATAGACTACTCCGAAATGGGGCACATGCACAAGCCGCCCTTACAGTGGGAGAAAAAAAAAAGGGAATAAACCTTGTGATTAAATACTCGCTTTCAAGTCAAATGTTTTACAATTTTTTTTATGGCAAAGTAATGGCTCTAAAAGATGTTATGGCAGAAATACGATTAAAAAAGTTACATCGAATGTTACACCTTTGTCTTAGGCCTGCAAAAAAAAAAAAAACTTAAGCCGAAAATATAATGAGCATAGAACAAAAATTACGCATTTTTTTCTCCAGAAAATTATTAGTTTTTGTTCTTACAGACTTTTGCAGTGTGGCTGTCGATATGCTTAATTTTTTTTTAAAATAATGTCAAAACAATAAAAAACAAAGAAGAAAAAATATTTTTAAAATCTAAAAAAAAAGTTTATTTGAAAATTTGACGTCCCCTAAATTCTGGTCCCAAAGTCCTTCCCTAGTCCTTGTATTTTAGGTTGAGTGGAGATTTAAAGAAAATTAATTTGTCTATCAGATTAAAATATAATTGAATGTTTCATAAATTTATGATAGTAAGTTGTAAATCATGAAAGCATTTGTTAAAAAAAGATAAGATTCCAATAAATGACAGCAAACCTAGTTGCCTAACTTGATAAATTAATTTTAATTTGATAATATAAAAAATGCTATTCTTTTATGAAAATTGTACACTAATATTATAGAATCATTTAATTTATACATAATTATAATTGTATATATTGTAAATGTTAATTCTTTGTGAATATAGAACAAAACATACTTTACACACAGCTATAATTTTATATATTGTCATTGTTATTACTTTTTATTAAAGAAATTTATATTTCATATTATTAATCTCACCTTGTTGATGTTTTTACTTATACGGTATGGTCAAAAGCACAAACTGTAGTTTTTTTAATGTACATTACGAAAAAACAAATATTTTACCAGTTTATTTGTAGCATACAAGTATTTCATACTCACTTGAGAAGTGGCTTCTACTATTTTGATCACTAATATGTTTTCATCGTTTGATTTTGAGTTGTGTATAGAAACAGCCTTGCTCAGCAAGTCCTTGATTTCCTGATCTTCTGGGTCCTTTTTCTTGTGGCCGCCCATTAAACACTAGAATGAGAAAATCCAGCAATATTTTACTATAACAATTAAATACATAACTAGTAATAATTATAAAAAAATAAGTCTTAAAAAATAAAAATCTAAATTTTTTAAGTTTCAAGAAGTGTTTTAAGTTCGGTTTAATAAAAAAATCTTGTGTACTCCATCCTATACAATCATTATTAACGAACATCCGACCTTTCATAAGCTTCCTTGGACTATTTTGCAATTACTTATTCAATATTTTCGAAAACTCAAACAATGAGGATAAATATTGAATTATGGGAGTCCTTCCTTGGTCATTGTACTTCATAATTATTTAATTCTACTAAATATTTATAAATTCTTATTAATCAATTTAGAGAATTCAAATGCGTTTTGAACATAGTTCAAGATGACAATTTGACGGTTTTTTCAATTTTTGATGGGATCACATTTCGACGGGGTTTCCAATTTTGGAGGTCACATTTCGACGGGAATATGTATTTTCAAAATGAAAAGTTTCAAATTAAAAGACAAGTGGAAGCATGGAACAGACCGTAGTAGGTGTAATTGTATATAATCCACGAATATTTAAATTCTACTTTCGTTTGCACTGTTTTTAAGAAGAAGAGAGGAATAAAATATCTTGGGAGGGATGGGGGAAGGTTTATGCGCCATGGGCCTTAGGGGGGGGGCACCTCTGATTTGATGTATAAAAGGTTTGTTCCATTTTCGTGCCCTTACAGTGTTTAGTATCGATCAATAGAGTCGAAATTCATAATAACATTTTTGAAAATCAATCTATATAAAAAATGCAGTTTGTGACTTTTTGCTATAAACCGACGATATGCTCAAGAGGACGATTCTTCGATTTTTCCTAATACAAGATATTTTGGTGATTTTAAATGACATTAAGTAATATTAAAAAAATAAAGCAAAACATCTAACTGCAGTCTAAGATTGTCTATGATGAAAATTCTCATTTTATGAGTTCACCTTACTGTAACTTGAAGATACTTAGTACCAAGTTTGTAACCACAATTACATTTATAATAACTATGGAAATTATTGTTACAGCGTATCACCACAATAACAGTTGCCAAAAAGCAGTTATCTAATTGAAAACATGAAATCTAGATTTGAGAAAAAAGCTGGATAGAAAAAGATGTCTACAAGGTTTGAGTCATTCTTCTGGCGTTCTATCTTTCCTTCTGAATAAAAACAGAACAAATAAAATAGAAGTTGACATTTTTTTCCAGCTATAATTGCCATCTAATGTTGCCACATTCGTATCAAGGACACATTTTCTTTACAGAAACCAGTTTACTGGCATCCAGAAGTCAATCATGTTATTTTTATTGAGTGCCATTCATCTAGTTATGTTCTTGGAATTGAGAAAACAAAAAGGGCACACGTGACGTCTCTAGTAGTGACATTATTGTGCCCGCGGGCACATGTTTGGGGAGTTCTGATCTATAGTGATAATCTATATAACTATAGAGTGTAATATTAATGTATCGGTTAAATTAAGTCTTGCTGATGTTTGATCATAAAGGTAGTAAAAATATCATGGTGTACGTACATGGTATGGTGTACGGTGGACTCTCGGGAGATTTCGAGGCCAAACTTAAGCGGCTAATGCATTGCGCATTAGGTTTTGTTTTCGGAATCTCAAGAGAGACGCATATTACCCAGTATCTATCCATCCTATCGCCGACAGTACTTTCTAGCTACCTTTCTGTACCAGATCATTAGAACTCATCGAACCTCCTATATTTTTCACAGTTTACAATTTAAATACTCCATCCAATCCCGTCTCACTAGATCTCGTACTTCCGATCTCTATCCTCCTCCTCACCGAACTGCTGCATTTGACAAACCATTTTCAATTCAGGCCGCCTCCTTCTGGAATTCCATCCCTCCTGATATTCGACACGCACAATCAGTTTTTTCTTTCAAATCAGTCTCCTCTTTAAACACCTACTCCTTTCTCAGTCCGCTTAATTACGAAATGTAACTAAGAGAGCTATCTATGTACCCCCAGAAAATATTTCTGTTATTTTAGTTTTCTCTGTTCGTATTGTATATATGTACGCTTTTCCTGTCTTTGTCTCTGTCTACTTCTATATTTTTACTTTTAAATAACTAATATTGTAAATATTTACTTTATTTATGACCACGTATACATGTGTTCAGTACTTATAATTTGTTCTAAAGGGATAATAGTACCAGAATAATAAAATATATTTTCATTCATATTTTAGGATAATTTAATGATTCAGAACTGAGCTCAGAGTTAATAGGTTCGTTTATATTTTGGTATGCAGGTAAACATTTAATTTTTTTTTATGTTTTTGTTCACTTTACTAAATCATTTATTAATTATGTAAACATTCCTTATAATTCATTGAGTATGATATATCAATGTGATATATGATCTTAATAATTCTGTTCAACTAAGAATGCTAGATTATCGATGATAATTGATTTTAATAGTTTATTATTATGAAAATTGTTTAAATAAGAATGAGATTCTATTCGTAAAAAATAGATATATTTTTTTCCAGAAATATTATCCATTTTTTAGATCTCGTTCCTGTCAAATTTTCCCCCAATCAAAAAGGTCCCAATCAAAATTTCCCGATAAATGTGTCGCAGCTGAACCGATTAGTACTTCGACCCTATATTTAAAAAAAAATATATGCACATAAAACTTACAACTTATAAGTTATAAACAAAAGTATATACCGGTATTTATTGATGTTAAATAGACAGGAAAAAAAAATTATGCACCAAAAACAACTTTTTAATGATTTCAGTGATTGAAGTTTTAATGATTTCAGTGAACAGCACTTACAGATAAACGTTAGAGGAAATGAGTCATTAACCAAGAACATAAAAAAAAAAATTAAAGACGTTGAAAGTCCCATGAAAATTCTATTATTTAAACAGTGTCAACAATGACTCCTTTACAAATATAACATTGAGTCATGAGCCATAGATAAGATATAGTGAGCTACCTATCGAAAACATAGATTGTAAATAAACTGCTTTGCTAACCTAATGCGTATTCAACTAATCATTAAATGATTTACAATTAGTTATTTATATCAACCAATAAACCATTATAATTACTTCCTCCGAAATTAAAAAGGAGTTTTCCATAGTTATAAAAAAAATAAAATTAAGGGTTGATCAATAGAAAAACGTAGTGTTAATGATTAAAAATACATATTTATGTATCATAGATAGAGCGCCTATTTTATTTTTCAAATATAGAAATGTATTCTTCCAATAGTCTCATATGTATTTCTCATTTATCCAGAACCTTCCGGTACTTTGTACCATATTCATCTAGAAAAACATTTTTGTATATATAAAGCAATGAAAGCTTCTAAGATTGTAAGAATTATACATGAGACCGTTTAAACGATAAATTTCAATATTTCAATCTATATTAAGTACCCGACTAAGCGATGCGAAACGAGAGTTATGTTTGAATCGTTCGCTAAAATCAATATAAGGTTTTTTTGAGCGACCAGCTGAATTGATTTTTTAAGTTTGATGGCTCAAATTATTCCGTGGAATATGCTAAATGTTTTGAAACAATTAAGGCTAAAAATTCTGCCTCATTATTAAATAAAATGTGTTTAATCGATGTGCTAAATCCTTTGTAACACTGTTTTGAGCGAACGGCTGGAACGATTTTTATTAAGTTTGATATCATAAATTATTCGTTGAGACATCCTGAGTGTTTTGAAACACTTTTGGTTTAAAACACTGACACGAGATTGAATAAAATGTGTTTAATCAATTGGCTAAAAGGTATGAAACATTGTTTTTTAAACATTGTGTTTAATGGCTCAAATTATTCGGTGAGATCATCTATGTATTGAAAGAATATTAGCTCAAAAATCTGGAAAATTACTGTGTAAAGTGTGTTTAATCGAGCAGCAAAAAGGTACTAACGATTTTTTGAGAGGATGACCTGATCAATTTTCAAACTTTGATGGCTGGAGCACAAAATACTGAGAAAAAAATTATTATGATTGTATCTCGACTATGAATGGATTCGAAATAATATCATGTGATCACATGTTATAAAATTTAATTTTAAATACAATAATATTATAAAATGAAGGGAGTGATCAGGGATCGCGTGCAATCATTATAAACCACATGTTCCCTAAATATCTATACGAGTATAAGATATCCAAACGATCACAGCTGTCGTCTTGAACAGCTGCTAGAGATCTAATGACGAAAGCCAATAAATCATGAAGCGTTAAGAAAAATATAAAAAAATTTAAAAATGTAAAAATTTCCACATATAATATTACTCGATTTTGTACCAAATCTAAGCTCCTGTCATCCTCAAATATCACGAATGTGGTTCCGTTGGATTTAGAATTTCACAGGGGTTCAGCGAATTGTACTCTTCGCTTTCGTTTTTTTTCTCTCTTCTAAAATAAATAAAGTCTATATAAACTATATATACTTATATATATATATATATATATATATATATATATATATATATATATATATATATATATACATATATATATATATATATATATATATATATATACTAGGATGCTTCGATACTGAAACGGTGTTAAGTCTGTAGATTGATATAGGACAAATTGAGCTTTGAAGATTTTGATGAGTACACCAAGAAACCTACCTTTTAGGTCCAAAAATCTACTATTTTCGAAATAATGCAAGGCAAACTGTACTGTCATGGATTACATGTCTCATTTTGTCAACTTGAGGCACTTATGATCGAGAGAACAGGAGATTATATTTTTATCAAAGGTGTTTTTTTTTTGTCGGTAAGCCATGTCATCGTTAATTCTTCATCAAATCCACAAGATTGAGTACCAGCTTTGAAGGTTTCCTTTTCCTTCAGGAGGGAAAAATAGTTCAATCGTCATGAAAATTCAGACAAAAAGTTTATGAAACAAAAAAACTTTACTTGCGAATAACTCAAAACTTACGCTCTTTTCTTTGGTTTATGTCATTGATAATATAAAAGATTACTAATCTCACTACAAAAGGAAAAAAAATCATCGAAACTGGAAAATTATTATTAAAATACAGCTTATTGAAATTTGTAAACACGTTGGTTCCAAACATTCAAGAAGTTTTAAATTCATTTTTGTTTGCTTTGTCGATTTTATTTAGCGTAAAAGTAACCATTGATTTCTTTTATGATACGTTGCATTACTTTATTTTTATATTAATTTATTATTTGACCACTGAACAAAATACTGTGCAAATCTTCGCACGGGCCTACTAGTAAAAATATATTTGATTAAAAAAAAAAACACTGAATACAGGTTTTGGATAATTTTATCCACCCTAAGGGAATGTACTTCCATATCTACTTAAACATCTTGGTAGATTGCTATGGAAATTGAACTCTAAGAATATTTAAACTTGGTGTAGTGATCGAAACTCAAGACTCTTTCGGACATTGACTTGCACGAACTTGGTACGAAAACTATTTGCCTAGAGCCGTAACATGTAATGATAAGTACCCGGACTATTACACCAAGTTTAAATATTCGTAGATGGCCATTTCCTTATCAATCTAACAAGATGTTCAAGTAGATAAGTCCATTTCTGTATTCGGTATTTTTTTTTTTGTAACTCTTAATATCTTTTTTCTATTGTATCTAATTCATGTTTTAAGAAACTTTACCATTAGTTGGTCTACTAACTTCATATACTGCATATGTATAATTATAAATACAGTATATGTATATGTAATGTACACTTAGAGTCAAATGACGCTCACTCATATAAACATTTATAAGAAAACTAAAGCATACTAGTTCATAAAAAAAAACCAGTGCGGACTGGCATTTCGTTAATAGAATATTCGAAAATCCAATACAACGTCAAATGCAATTGACGTACTGTTGAATTTCTTCTTTTCTTTTGTATCGCTTGACTAAAAATAAGGATAAAATAGAAGAGAATACATAATTAAGAATAGTAACAGAAAATTCGGAATATTCCAATCTTCCTGAGGATTTAAAATTACGAATTCAATTAACTCGGAGTTCCCTCGTGTAATTATAAAAACAATTAAAACCACATAAAACTGCTATAAAAATTTAATAATTATTGTCACAAATTATTACTTTTGTAACTACTTACCACGATGCATTTACAGCTTATATCGATTGTTGATATGATACACAATATAATAATACGTATCAATAATACGAAAGGTTTCTGTAACTTGTAAATTCATCATAACTAATTTATTGAAAAATAATACAATCTGTCTCGATTAAGGACATTTATAATAGTGTTCAGAGAGCACATTCAAACTCCATGTACAATAAATAAAAAAAAAATTAAACAGAAAAATAATAATAATAAAAGTGCATGTATATAAACAAAATAAATTAAACTAATGAAAATAACAGCTTAAATACAAGAAAACTTTTATACAATCTTTACAAAGTTCATTAAATCAAGAGAACTCTGAGCCAAGCCTTTCTCCTCCACTCTCGGAAGGAAACGCAGAACACTAGGAAATAAATACCAGCGCCTCTCACTCGGTTGCATCACTGGTATTAAGGATCAGTAAAAAGGAAACACAAATAAAGGGAACCCCCACCAGAAGCTGGTACAAGACAGTTCGCGAACTTTAAGGAACTAGTTTAACTCCGCTAAAATTTCATTAGCATTCTATTTTTTCAAACGAGATAGCAGTTATTTTCTAATCAATGGAATGTATCTCAATTGATTGCATTTTAAATTAAATTACATACATATATATATATATATATATATATATATATATATATATAGTGAGAGAGAGAGAGAGAGAGAGAGAATAATTGGCCCACTAAAAATTGAGGCCAAACACTGGGCTGTCATGATGATGTTAAATCGATTAATCTCATTTTCAAAATGTTTTTTCTAAAGTTATTATTGTTATGAATTTCCAAGTCCAATATTGTGCGGAGAATCCATTCAATGTTGATATCAGTTATAAATTTAAAGTAATTGTAAAGCCAAATTTTCTAAATTTTATTTTTGCTTTATTTTAAACCTCTTCAAATGACTCACAATTAAGCATGTCAATAAATACAATTTTTACGGTTGTCTTGATTCAAGTTTTATTCAACTTTTTCTAGACCTATGTTTTCATTCAAACCTTCCAGATTGTATTTCTGGATTTAGGTCAGAATTGTTAAACATTTCTCATATCATCATCAAATGCATAAAATATATTTAGACAACTTAAAATTATATTCTAATTGTTATGTTTAATGGAAATAATGTACAACCTTATTTCAAAGTCACTTAAAAGTTTTGATGCATCGTAATTTATAAATATAAAACAGAACCAGTCCACTCTGATAAGAGTATTATAGAATACGCCCCTTCACTTGCAAAGATAATATCCAGTTGAAAATAAAAGGCAATTATGTTAATTAAAATCAGTACTGTATTTTAATTAATGCCGAGATAACTGGACTGAAAACAATACGGGGGCTTTGACCGTCACGGCTTATCCTTTCATAATTCTCACACCAGACCAAAAGGCTATCAATATGTGATTATACAAAAATCAATATCTCGTACGAAAGAAAAATCCCATTTTTACTCTAATGAGGACAAAATGAGACCGCGTAATAGCGGAAATAACAATCTTAGCGCTTGGCGGGTTACAACACAACAAAAGCATTAAATAATCTTATCATTCAAAAAATGTTTTAATCAACGATTTCATAATTTAAAAAACCAAAACGCTTATTTTGTATCATATATGATAATACGTAAAACTGCAACACAATAGTTCCGTAAACACACCTGTTTCTAAAAATAGACGCGATCAAGACAGTCTTTGTAAATGACCCGCCATAGCCGAAATTTTCAAAAGACCGAAACCAGATGAAAATATAATAAAAACTATATTAATGATTGATATGTTTGCTACACCAGAGAAAAGTAAAACTTTTACAAAATAGAAAACATTAAAAACAAATAAAGGTTATGTTTATCATTAGTATTTGATTCAAATACAGTTGATTCAAACATAATTGTGAATAGCGAATTTCCCATTCATAAGTAAAATACATAGAAAGAATCATTACATTTAATTATTACCTTTTCTGATGACATTGCAACGACTGTAATGAATGAGAAATAGAGGAACAAACAAATGATATAGAACCAACTTAGTAACTGGAGTGGTCCTCGGGGCGCATGCGCAGCCTTTCGCATTCTTTCTTTCTTACGTGGCGGGGCAAGGTACTTTATGGAGGTGAATCAGTTTTAATTAAACATTGATAATTTTCGAGTTTCTGTTAATATTTGAAACTAATATAGTTTTAACTCATCAATCATTTATTTGTAATAATAATTATTTTTATAAAATGATGTAATATACTCATAGTTATGAGTAGTCTCCGTTTATGTTCTAACTTAAAAAAATACTTGTTTACAACAAAATTAATATTTTATTTTAACTAAATATTTCGTCTACCTAAATATAAAATCTCCTTCCTCCAAAATAGTCAACTTTCTATAAGAGAGAAAACAATATTTTATTCGATCGCAATAAATCGGTATATTTTCAATTTTTTATGTCTTAAATAGAGTTTCACGTTACTAATTATTCTTAATAATCAAGTATAAACATTTGTTGGGTCTTATTTAATGTTGTTAAAAGGTTTAATTATAAAATTAGAGGAGTCAGGAGGGGAGAGAGGGAGTTCACAATTTCGTAATGAAAACGAACATGTTTTTAAACATTTAACGTTTAATTTAATTTAAACACTTTTGGAATTACGATGTTTCACAGTTCTAGTAGTATAATCTGTCATAATCAACAATATAAACGAGATTTACAATTACTAATAAATATATAAAAATAAATAAATAAATGATTATAAAAAACGAAACATAACGGAAATATCGTGGTTTGTTAGTATCTTCGCGGTTAATAACATACTATCAAAAATGACACAATATCTTACCTCAGAAAAAAAATCGAAAATTTATAAGGATCCATTTTGATTTCATTTATCGTTATACATTTGACAGTGGCCAAATACCATTTTTAAAAACGATACGGTAAGCATATATAATATAAGAAATTAAAATTATCGATAAGGAGTATTATAAAAATTTTAAATTAAAAGTAAATACAAAATCAAGAACTTTTGTGATAGCAGTAGGTAGTTATAAAAATACCGTCTTGTTTTATTGTTGTTTAATTTTTCAGTTTCAAACTAAACAGAAATCGTTCATAGAAAATAATTTAAAATAACATATTGATGGCTCAGTTCAAAACTGAAACAACTCAAAACTCAAAATTATAAGATAAACGAACTCAAAAGTTTTGAACAAACTTAAAACAATTAAATGAAATATTCTGTAATGAAACATAAACTTTTACACTGATAATTAAGGGAGTTTGAAATAGTGCAGTTTTGTACTAAGATCTATAAAATTATCTATTATAATACAAATAAGAATAGGTAATAAAAAGAAAAAAATTAAATTAGGTAATTTTTTAGATCTTGGTTTTGTACTATGAAGAAGAAATTACATAGATACTCGTATCAGAAGAAAACTGAAAACCATTAATTTTTTAGTTGTCTCAGTTTCGAATTGAGCCATCGATGTAACTGCTGAATCAGGTCTAGTCGTGCAATCCTTAAGAATGTCACTAAAGTATTTGTAATATCTATTAATGTTTTGCTAATACTGTATCCGGTTCATTTAGTTAATACATTATTTTGAACTTAATAGTGGTGTATAAACTATATTTGAGTTCAAATAATATATTATTCTTTTTAACATTTAATTGTTAAATTATCACTTTATTCAACAACTTTATTCTAATTCATAAAAAAACAAAACATATTCCTTATTTTGCACATTTCATAATAAAATTTTTGATTTTCTTTTCAATAATTGATTTTTCTGTTCAGTTGATTTACTTTTATGTATTTTCTTAATAATTATAAATTTTCTTAAAATTAAATAGTAATATATTGGACCATATTATTATTGTGATTCCATTATTGAAACTGTCTGTGAATTGAGTAGCAGACGTATTTAAAAATTTAAAAAAATATGCATTAAAATCTAGACCACCTACTACGATTTCACTAGATTTAGTTAATTCGATTTCACAAAGCAAATAGGGTTAAAGAATCTAGCATCAGTCTTAGAATCTAATATTGGCTTTTGTTTATGTTTATTTATCTTCAATCAGGGTTGCCAAACCATAATATATTTTCCCCCACATTAATCCTAAATGTTTAATTCTCATTTTTCTATTATTGAAATGAATATTATCCATCTAGAATTAGGTGGGTGTAAATTATAAAAAAGGTTTACTCAATTTTATTTAATATTTTTATATTAATTTAATTCATTGCAAAAGTTGGTAAATAAATTAATTTAAAAATTTGAGGTGTATTCTCAAACTATTTCTCCCTCTCATTTTAAGGGGAAGTTTCTAATAAGATGAAAATAGTGAACGCATTGGTAAAAAAATAAACAAATAAAATGAAAAAGTTCTAAAACGTTTTCATCCTAATTAAAAGCCCTACAACATTTGAACCATAAAAATTGCATAAGGATAAGAAAGTAAAACTAAACCTAGGGGAAAAAACCCAATCTGGCAACCCTGGTATCAGTAACCACAGGTGAATCTACGGGGATGGAGGGGGCTTTCGGGCTGAAGCCTCCCACTCCCCAAAATGGTAAAATGGAACCATCTTTTATGGTAAGAAATATTAAAAAAATATCTCTTAAGGTATTATTCAAGAGAATGATGGTTGGGGTGATAAGTCAAAATAATTACATTTAATAGGACTTCAAATATCACGTAAACACTATTTCATATAGGTAGTTTTTTTTTTTTTCAAAATAATTATCATTATATATATGAAAATAAAGCTGTCTGGCTGAAGCTCCCTCCCCCAAAATTAAATCTTGGATCCACTGGTGTCCGTAACATTGACCTCATTCTTAAACCCTGCTTACTCAGTATCATTTTTTGTTGTGGTCACACTGTCATGACAGTGGGAAAATATAAACCTCTCTTTTTCCACACAGAAAAGGGAGAATACAATGCAAAAAATTATGTTTATGATATCTATTAATGAATTTTTTTAATCCAAAAAAATAATTGCAACCACAAGGTTTCACATTTCAGGATACTTCATTATTTATTTATTTGTTTTTATTGTTGGCTCTATCCTGCAGGGTCATTGGCATCACTTCCTATTCATACTCTGTTGTAGAATTTTATAATTTTTAACTGCAAGGTTTTTTCCACGGCTTTTTCGTTATCTCGTGAAGTTCTCTTTTAGACTCTGAGCCATATGCAATTTTTTCCTTATATTCTTAAATACTGGACAGTCTTGGATGATATGTTGGATTGTTCTTTGCACCTTATAACTGTCGCAAATCGGTGGGTCTAGTCCTCTTAGTAAATAAGCATGTGAAAATTCACAATACCCAATTCTTAAGCTGCAGAGGACTGTCTCTTCTTTTTCTGGAGAGTCGGTTAATAGTTAACCAATTGGAACAGTGGCTTTTTATTACTTCATTATTTACAACAAGATGATCATGAAAACATTACATCATTAGTAGCCATTTCATTGCAATATGGCGACCAATTGGAGTCTTATTCTATTGGGTGATGGCTTCATTTCTTTTGAGATTTTTATTTTACAAGAAGACTTCCAGTAAATAATTGTTGAACTAAATTACATATAAAAAACCTACAACCACAACAAACAACTAATTTATAAATATCAGTATAATAAAACGAATTATTTGATTTATTCTTTTAAAAACAACTGGTGCTAAAAGTCATGTAAGTGGCATTTTTCAATAGCATCTTGAAAATATATAGAAGTACTTTCAAGTTAAACGTTCCGGTACAATCTTTCAAACTGGAACTATTGTGCATTGCCTCATCACGCCATTTTTTCCCTTCACAGCAAAGGTTAGGTTAATAACATTGGATATTATTTTCACTCTATAAGATTAAATCTGTAAAACACAAACAAATAACGTTATAAATAAATTTGCAAAGCCAGTTCTTGTAAACTACAGCTTTACAGAATAATTACCTTCTGCTCAAAACTATTTGTTTCTTTGCATTCATATTTTTCAATGTTACGTTCATTTAGCCAAGCTCTCCTGATCAATACTAGATTACAAGCATAAACATTTTTGGACTTTGAGCCAATTCCTTCAAATTCGTAATAAAATTTTATTCCTCTCACCACCTAAAATATTTTTGAATTGTGTGTAATTTAAAGTAACACATTTTATATATAAAAGTACATGAAGAAATAAATAAATAATAAGTACATGAATATATATTTTTTTTATCATTCGGCAATCCTTAATAAAAATATTAAAATATACTAATTAAGCCCTTGTTTACAAATTAGATGAGTAATAATGAAAAAAAATGTGTAATTTTGATATTCTTGAAAAGCTCTCATCAAGCCAAAATGCCATATTATCGATTCATGGGTGGATGGATGTAGTCAAAAACAAGCCCACAGTTATTTAATTTCACAAAGAGAAAATTGATCTAAATTCTTAGCGATTTAAAGTTATGAAATGTCCTTAAATGGCTTTTCCAATTAACCGACAATATATTATTTTTTTAAAGTTTTTTTTTGTTGAAGTGTAAACCTAAATAGGAGCGCTTTGCACTTTTTTTTCTGGGAGAACTCAGCCGTCTGGCTTTATAAAGCTCAGTCGGTTCGAGGCGACTAATTTTTGCATTTCGATTGAACTTGTAATGAGCTATTATTCAAAATTGCATCTTGATGCGACGCCGTATTAGAGAGGCAAAAAGAGAAACAAATAGTGTCAAAAATCAGATGTTTACGAGTTTTTTTTTTAACATTTGGATTATATTATCTTAAAAATTAAAATTCGGACTTGCGTAAGCGAGAGAAATTTTCAGCATTTCATTCTCTTTGTAATGAGATATAATTCAAAATTATATTTTTTGTATTAGAAAAAAATTGTATTGTAATGTAATTAAATTACACATTGTATTAGACGCGACGCCGAGTTAGAGTCCGAAAGAGGAAAAATAACGACAAATTATTGACCCCGTTACAGAAGTTTACAAAAGACCTAAGGAAGCTTTCAGTTGATTTTATTAAATCAATATAAGATTTAGATACATCGAGTGATCTAAATGAAAGACCAACAAAATATGAAACAACGATTCAATCAAAAGTAGTTGTTTTGTTTTGTTTTCTAACGCCTCTTGACTTATTTGACCACTGCCATTAGTGTTCTAACAGCTGTCTTGGGCGACATATGTGGTCGTTTGGTCCTCTTATATGAATATCCAGGGGGCTGTATAACTAACTGTTTGTATTGTAGATGTTATCACTTTGCGAATGTATGACAAAAAAAAAATCATATTTTTAGTCCCGCCTTGTTGATGTTTTACTTCTATTGTGTGGTTTTAAGCACACACCATAATTTTTATTTATTTATTTCTTCTGGCCTATTCTTCTAAATTTCTTTAATACTTTTTAATTCCAATGATTGAACAACGTATTGTCTTGCTCAAAGCTCCTTGAAAACATTACATCAGAATTCTCCACTTCGAAGTGCAATTTTACTGGACTACTTCGTGACTTACGACCTCTTCATCAAATCATCAAGGTCTTATGGCGTCATCCAGTAACTGACTCCAAGGATATTGTTAGCATCTCCTTCCACACCATCCGACCAACTCAGTTTGGTCTTCTACTCCTTATTCATTGTATTGGCTGAATTAACAATATTTTTGTCTTCATCCGCCATCCTCATGCTCATAGGTACTGCATATCTTGAACGTCTAAACCTGGGGCAAGCCTCAAAATTAATTAATAAAATCACTAATGCTTAACTATATACGTTAGAAAACGGTGATTTTTATCTCTATGGAATTATCATAAACTTTATACTTCAGAGATGGTACAAAGCGTTGCGCAGCTCCAGGTTTGTGAGTCGCTTCCATTATCTTACAATGTTTACATACCCGTACATTCAGTGAAGAACTATTTGTTCACAATTCAGAAGCTCTTCATAAAGAAATGCGCACCAGTTTGATTAGCAGATAAGAGCACTGGTTTTCCTACTTTTAATTTCATGATCGGGGTTATTATCCTGGGTGACTAAAAATTCCAGGTGAGTAAATTCTACGACCTGTTTTAAAGGCACTGGATTATGATATGACATCTGTACTTATTTTAACTTCATAGTTTACATCTTGTCTGTCTACTTACTAGGCCCTTCAGTGCTATAAAAGCCTCGGTCTCGGCCTGAAAGAAGCGTTCCACGATGACTACAACATCGGATTAGACCAACAGTCGCTCAAGCTTAGTAAATATGTTTACATGCCTTTTGTATCGTCTTCATAAGCCTTATGACTTTTATAATCATCCGAAGTGCTAGATTAACCAATAAACAGACTAGTACATTCTCTTGCCAGAGCTCTTTTCTTGCAAGAAGTTACTCGGGTATTTCCCTATTCATATGTATCGTACATATCAGATCTTTCTTATTGATCATATACGTTTCCCGGGTACATTGAATTCTCTGAAAGAACTATACAGCAGGGATGGACAGATAAATCCAGAATCGAATAAAGGTATCAATTCCTTGAATCCTTGAATTGAACTATTCGTATTCTTAAGTAATTCGCTTAAAAGGATCACGATTAATTTGGAATCGGTCGATCCACCTGTCGATTCACCTGGAATCGGTTAATTTTCAATTCTTAAAAATCGGAGAAGTTGGAGTCAATGAAGATTTTGAGTCAATTTTGTGTTTTGAGAATGTCCTCTAAGTTCTTCTTTGATTCTCATCGAGTTTGTATTGAAAAATCTTCCAGTCGTATTCCATCGTTCGCTTGTTTGTTTTTTTTACTTTCGGTATCTACTCTTCCATGATCCGTTCCAACTTCGGACATTTGTAACCCATACTTATTTACATTACTATATTGTTTATGTCTTTATTTTTTTTTTCTTTCTTTGATTTATATATGTATACAGTTTTTCTCTTTTGTACTTTTATTTTGACATAACATTTTAGTTTGTAAATATTTAATTCAATGTATGGCCACACTATCTTGTTTTATTTTGTATTTATACTTTGTCCTAATGGGCCATCGATTTTAAGATAGTAAAATTAAAGTAAAAGATAGATTCATATTTTTTATTTACATACACTTAAATCCGGACTTTTAATTGAATAAATCAAATAATTAAAAAAAAATTGTCAGAATAACTATAATGTTTCAATGAAAAATTCTTTTTTAACTTAAAAAACACAATAAAATTAAAAGAATCAATCGTTCATAAGAATCGATTCACCCCAATTATTGAATCATTGCGGATCGGTTCAGTTCACTAGGGGATACAGGATTTAATTTTTTTTTTTGGAGGCTTCGGTCCGATAGGTTTTTTTTGTTCTCATATATATAATGATAATTACTACATATATGAAATAGTGGTTAAGTGATACTTGAAGTCCTATTAAATGTAATTAATTACACGAACAATAATACTTTAAGAGATAATTTTTTTATATTTTTTCCATAAAACAGTGTTACATTTTACCATTTCGGAGGGAATAAGGGGGGAGGGTGGCTTCAGCCCGAAAGCCCTCCTCCCACTGTAGATTCGCCTGTGATTCAGTTAAAAGAATCAAATTTTCCATCTCTACTATACAGTTTTTGAGGTGTCATATGCTATTTTAAAGTCTATGAGAAGAAATGGCAAGGTATATCTCAATAATAAGTTAGATAACATCTATCAAACGCAGGAAAACAGCGAGATGCCTCGGTTTTTATCCTTTTTGTTTGCAGGGGAGTAATTGGTCTACTCCAATCATTGAGGACCGTCTCATATTTCCGTATAAGAAGAAGTAAGCCTTGCAATGATTTGATATTACCTTCCACCACTTGTTTATAAACAGGGAGTGAGTCAGCCCCAAGTGCTTTATTATTTTTTAATTCGCTTTGTCAGCCATAATATCCTCCTCATCAGCGGAACTAGGGGTCAATTCTGGTCTTCGATCGCCGCCGACAAAACTTGTGTTTTATTTATTTGATCATTATTCAAATTTCTCTTATGTAGGCACTTTTTCTTCACCTTAAGTTGTTTAGGAAGTAGAATTTCAGAGTCAAAGCAATAAGGCAATATTTAAATAAAACAACAAACTTATGTGATAATTTACCTGAAAGGCAGCTTTTAAGATGCGTTTTACTTCGATTTGTTCCTGAATTATCAAGCCCCTGGGTGAAGTCGAAAGACTCTGGAGCGTGTTTGCAAGATACTCATGAATCACAGGACTATTAGGAGATACTTCTCGACACCCGGGGCAAACCTGGAAATTAATTAATAAAATCACTAACGGTTAAACATCTACCTGGGAAGACAGTAATTTTTATCTCTATGTAATCGTCATACACTATTTTGAGTACAGATATAAAATAAAATTAAAAATATTTGCTATATTGGCTTTGCTTAACGTATCGAGTATATACCTCTTATAATTGTATTCCAATTTGGTGATTGCAGCGGAGTCTAGAAAAGGTGACATTGTGCAAGTTGTGCTTTGAACAATTTTTAAGAAAATCATATTTTTTTACAATTTCAATTTGGAAAACAATAGAAATAAAGAATATAGGAAAACAAAATAGTAGTATATAAAAGGTAATTTTTATAATTGGATTTTCACATAAACCGTTTTAAAGAAGAGGGGAACAATACAATTTTTTGGAATGGAGGAGCATTCGCCTTCTCTCTTGGAGGGATGGTCATCCCTAAATGTGTATTTTTCAATTCATTTTAAAATTGTGACAGTCTCAAGTTATATGGTGTAATTATTACCAGTCGTCACAGTTGATGAAACATTTTATGCATCTTGAAAACTCATACGATTTGATTGATCAAGTGATTTTTTTACTTAAAGACCAAGTTCGATTTTAATTTACTTCGTCTTAATTTGTTCCTAAGACATCTATGCTGAAAGAAGAAGAAAGTTGTACTCCATCTGGAAATTTTATAATAAACCCCTGGTTCTGACGAAAAAAAGTTAAATATAATAACACCGATCAGAATAAATTTAAATTAAAAATGGTAATGAAAAACACAAGAATATGTTAAAAGATAAATTTAATGAACACGTCAAAGAAAAGAGATAATTTCTATGGGTGGTCACAAGTAATGAAAGAAAGATTATTGTTACAAGTAGAGGCTTAATACCTAATTTATACCCAAATATGGCTTTGTATCGTTATAACTAGCCTGTTTTTATTGACCAAAATGAAAGAGAAAATTAGGCTACAAAAGGATAAATTAATATGTTTAGTTGCTAGGGGTAAGGTTAGTTAAATTGGTTAATAATTTACCTTGGCGTATGTAGAGATTCCAAGAAAGAGAACTACAATTATTAAAGGACCCATGTTTCAGCTCATTACCAATAATTAATAATAGATAAACTAAGAATTGAAAACTACATCAATAATTAATTTTTGATATGTATAGATCTGTTGATGATATCCAATACTAAACATCAGGACCACTTAATGATATATATATATATATATATGGTGTTTCTTATCAAGGTTTTTCTACAATTAATAATTGGTAGATAATATTCCCAATTTAATAATATCTGAGTAGGGAGTAGTGTTTACTATGTTTTGAGCACCACTTAGACTGAATTCATTTTATATTTTAGCATATAACATGAACTCTAAATATAAATTATGCGAAAATAATTTTCATTGATTTTAGCCTTTTCCAGCAGAGGGCAAAATATATATGCCCTGATAGTGGTGGGGAGAACTAGTCTGGCATGTGGGCCTCTGTGGTCCTTTTTGCCAATCCCTGACGGCTACCTTGAGGTTTTTGCCGCGAACTTACCAGAGTGGGAATGTCACGATCCATTTTCCGGGGCCGCCCAGAAATGAAAGGTAACCGACCCAGGTGGGAATCGGACCCACAACATTCAGAACCGGGAATGCCAGGGCCCAGGCTCCAACGTACTCGACCATTCCGTCCTCTGATATATATAATTGCCCTACTCCGATACAAGAATTCGTACTAATCTAAGATCACTGCCAAAATTGGAGCCAATTCTAATTTATACTTATATTTTGGTCTATTGCTTTGAATGAAAATGCATTATCCCCACTCATAGTACTAGTCCGTGGTACAGACCCCTTTTTATCGAATTATTAACATCCGTCTGAAACTTAGTAAATAGTTTCATCTCATCGTAACCTACAACTATTTCATTTACGAAAAATCTTGGAATTGGGGCCTTTTCAATCTGGAGGGGTACTAAAAACTCGTAAATACACATTTGCTTTCTACTTGGAACGTAAGGTAATTTGACAACAAAGTCGAGAAAAAAGGTGGCCTTCAAAAATATTGAGCCGTTTGGCGTGACCTACACCCCCAATTTTTTAAAATAAGGAGGTTATATAGGCCAAACGGCCCAATATTTTCGTAGGCCACATTTTTTATCGATTTTGTGAGCAATTTATCTTACGATCCAAATATAAAGCAAATAGGTATATACGAGTTTTTAGTACCTAATTAAATAGAGAATGTTTGCCCCTCTCCAGATTGAAAAAGAGTTCTCATAAATAATATAGCTGTAGGTTACGATGAGATGAAACTATTTACGAAGTTTCAGGCGGATGTTAATAATTCGATAACAAGGAGTCTGTACCACGGATTAACATTACATTAATAATTTATTTTCACATTATATTGCATTTATTCACTGACTAATATGCTATACGAATTAATGGTGCTGATCAACCAATATTTATTGAAATGTTTCACTTGAAGATTATTTTCTTTATTTGTAACATGTATATACATATGTGTGTGTTTTTTTTTTAATTTCCTTATTTTTAAGTTATTTATTTTATTTATTTTATATACTTTTTATGTTATTTTTCTTCTGTTTATTTATTTACTTTTTGCACATATTGAGTGAATGTTGCTACCTCACTACAACTAATTTCCATGCGACAGGATGTTGTAATATTCAATAAATAAGCAGTAAAAAAAAATGTTACTAATGCATTTTTTTTGTGTGTGTATATTTCACAGATACCTCTAATACCTAGTGCCCATAAGTGTGACAGAATTATTTCTCTATAAAAATGATTTTAGAAAAAGTTGTATGTGTTGTTTTAAAGTGTCTTCTTTATATATCAATATCAAAATGTGTTTGTAACAGAAAAAAAAAAAATTACTTGTAATTGAGAACCAAAACTATATGCGGAACCAAAACGATTTCATCAACAGACTTAATGATTAATGAAGTAGACAAGGTGAAACGTTAGCAGATAACCTATCAGCTTTTGGATTGTTAACAGGGAAATAATTCAGTAAGAGCAAAACACATTATACGGTTACATCATTTAACAGGAATAACTCCAAAATAGCACAAGATAATTTTGCTCCAATGGGTTTTAGTTTAAATGATTTTATTCATAAAAATTATAAATTTATCATAAGATTTATGATTTGTACAAACATCTTTTCCAACTGTTGAAAAAAAAATTGGCTTAGTTTAGATTCCAATACTTCAATTACCACTTATCCTCGAAATCTACTTTTGAAAACTAACTTTAGTATGTGAGCAAAAAAATCTCAGAACACCACTCAATTTCCCGTCCCCTCTGGCGGCTTCGTCAGATGAAAACATGACAGATTTTAGCAAGCATCTATCCAAGCATTCTCCATGAGTGATCCGTGATAGCGATCCTATCCATACAGCTAAAGTTTCCTCAAATATGAGAGTGTTAAATTGTCAAACATAAAGCGTGTCGAATCATTTAAATCCAAAGTCCTTCCAAAAATAGTGAATGATCCATACTACATCACAAACAAAACCTTGCATCATGACCTCAACTTACAGTTTGTGCTTTACGTTATTCCATCCAGATTCTCAATCTTTTATCAGAACCTTGTTTGTCATCCTAATCTACTAGCTTACACAGATCCAAGTTTTTACATTTCCAAGAGTATATACTATTATATGTATAGGCTTTTGACGATAACAACAAAGAGTAAAGACTGAAGTGGATAACAAAGTAGTGAAATTCAAACAATAAGATAGCATTATTCAGAGGATAAAAAAACGTCAATGGATTGGTCCTTTGGCTAGTTGTTAATTGATTATAATGCTTATTTAAATATACATTACATTTTCGATGTCTGTAAGGTTATCGATAACAAAGCCTATGCGAACATACATTCAGAGGAAATTTTTTTCTTTTTTTGAGGTCCTTAGTTTATTTTTGCAATTTGGCCACTAACTCTTAAAACATCCTGTATATACAGTGCAGTGAAAAAGGTTTCGAAGAAACCAAGTTTACAGATATGACATTTCTAAGATCCTCATGATCGTATTCTAGGTGTTTTAAAATGGATATAAAACGCATCTTCGCTCACCTCCGATGACCTTCGACATAGCGCGAATGTCTATAATTTACTAGGAAAAAAAAACAGGCATAAGTTCGACGAAATAAAGACGAGAAGGAAAGTGATTGCACGAGTGGTTTCTGATTATAAGATGAAGAATAAGTTAAGATGTACAAGATCTTAATTAAACTTTCACAAGAAATGTAATGAATATATCATATATCTTAGGTGGAGAACCTTTTTATCTACATATGTTATGTAATTCATTACCATATATCTATATCCTCAATGTTCCTACTTTGTCAGAAATAAAATCATCCATAACGACCTTAATATTCCTTATGTTTCTGACCTGGCCCAATCCATATTCCAAACCTTCCATAACAAAATTCAGAACCATCCAAACCCCTCTCGTTTCTAATCATGCTTCCTCCTCGATTCGTGTGAAAAAAAGTTATAAAGAAAAGAAAAATGTCATGGGACCTAACTCCCTAAGTATATATCATACGGTAAAATTTATAATAAAACTTTTGAAAGTTAATTAAATTAGCAACAAAACAAAAAAAAATCATCGGAATCGAACCAGTATTAGCGATGATACAGCTTATTCTATTTTTTAAACATTTATTAATTTATTACTTTCCTACCTATACTAGGTAAGGAATGTATTGCAATCGGATCAAATTTCTGATATGCGGTTTTCGACGGATCTATATGTTTCAGAGCTCCTTGAGTCCGAAAAACACATTTTTAGCCATTGGTCTGTCAGTCTGTGCCAAGATTTTCTCGGGATCTACTGAACCGATTTTGTTACTTCTTTTTTTATTTTGTAGGGTTTTGACTACTGATGCCTGTGACAGAAATTTGGTTCTCCATGCGCAATAGCTTGGGCGCAATAAATGAAAAACATGTTTTCCTATAGACTGTAGCACGAAAACGGCTCTAACAATTTTGATGAAACTTTTCTAATCTTTTTACTTTCCATTTTTGTATATAGACTAAATTCCCTAAAAAATTCAGGAAAAGAAGTTATAAAGAAAAGAAAAATGTTATGGGGCCTAACTCCCTACGTATATATTATACGGTAAAATTAATAATAAAACTTTTGAAAGGTAATGAAATTCCTTACAAATGCATATAAAAATCGTTCATTTTGGACAATTATTAACGAAGTTACAGCTATTTCAATGAAAAATTATGAGTTCATTTCCTGGTTTTAGAAAGGGGTGAATGAGAGAATAAAGATGACTAAGTGAAAGTAAGAAAATCTTTTACACAATCTTCACTATTTCCTCTACTTTTAACTGAAATTATTGTTTGACAATATTAAGCTATGGCAAAAAGTTTTTGATCAGCAATATTAGTGAGTATTGAAAATTTTACACTGATCTACCTTAAGCCGGTTTACATAGCTTTAGTTTATCAAATAAATTATACTCAAATCTTTTGTTTGATCAATTTTCAGGAAAATAAATCTAGTTAATTCTTTTCTGTTTATTCATTAACATATGTAAAGATATAAACTTTTCTGAAATAGTTAGGAAAATAGTGTGAGTGGACGGACCAGATATTTTTTATTAAAATGATAAATCATGTAATAAAAATATTATTTTTTACCAAACATATTTATATATCGGTTAATAAAATCTTCAATTTTTATAAAACTGCAATATTGTTTAATTGAATATAACTTTTTAAAAAATAATTACTTTGAAGAATATTAAGCACTTGAACTTAAAGAAATCATGTATTATTATGACTATAAGGTGTTGGTGTTATATTATTTATTGTAAAAAAATAAAATAACAAACAATGCTGTACTTTTTTCGGTTTAATCAACCGAATTTGTTGATAAAACAATCAAATCTACTTACGTTTATAGGAAATTGACTAGATGTACCTAAGAAAGAATATAATAACCTTATATTACTTGTTAATTTTCTTCAGTAGATTAGTTTTTAAAAATACTCAGATTGCAGGGGATATTCGCATCAAGTTTATAAAAAATGTTTAGGTTAGGAACTTTGTCTATTTAATTAGGTGCTAAAAACTCATGAATATCATTTTGTTTGATATGACTTGATCGTACTTGAATCGTAAGATAAT